TTAATCTTGGGGCAATTGGGCCCCTGAAAAACCCAAATTGGGCCGAATAGATCAACCCATTCGGACCCTGATTTCTGCCAGGCGGTTTAACCGCCCAAGGCAAGAGGTTGCACCGCCTGGGCTCAGTCTCCGAGCGAGACTGGGCGGTGCAACCTCCCCTGACAGGAGGTGGCACCGCCTGGGCTCGGTCTTCGAGCACTGGTTGAGCGGTGCAACCGCCTCAGTCAGGAGGTTGCACCGCCTGAGCTCGGTCTTCGAGCTCTGGCAGGAGGTGCAACCGCCCCTGACAGGAGGTGGCACCGCCCAGAGGCTCAGTCTTTGAGCTCTGCCAGGCGGTGCAACCGCTCCAGTTAGGAGGTGCAACCGCCTGATCCCGGAATTCCGGGAATTGACAGTTTTGAGCTCCAAATTTGAACTGGGTTGGGGCCTATAAATACCCCACCCATTCAGCACTGAAAGAGCACAGAATACACACCGAAATCTTGATCTTGTTCTGTGATTTTTAGAGCTCAAAATTGTTGTAAAGGCCAAAAGTTCTTCTCCCTCTTTTCTTCCAAGTTCTGAGCTGTAAAGAGAGGAGAAAAAATTCTGTAAGGGTTGTCTCCTAAGCCCGTCAAAAGGAGTGAAACTGTAAAAGGGTGGTTGGCCTTCGCCTATTGAAGGAAGGCCTCTAGTTGACGTCGGTGACCTCGTCGGTGGAGGAAGCCAAAAGTAGAGTAGGTCAAGATTGACCGAACCACTTTAAAAACTGCTGCGTTATCTGGTTTGCATCCTACTCTTGTCATTTACATACTGCAAACTTCTCTACTTAGTTACTACGCTTCCATACGTTTCTAAGTTATCAAGCTTCTAAAATCGATTTCCATTGATACTGCTTTTCATCGTACGAAAGATTTATCAAAACCGAAGTTTTAATCCGCTGCACTAATTCACCCCCCCCCTCTTAGTGCCGCTCCGATCCTAACAACTATATCACATTCAACTGGCATGACCATCATCTCACATGTGAATCGCATCAATTTCTGAAAAAATGAAAGCTAAAATATGGGTGACTATCAAATTCTTGAATCCTCATCCACTGCACAATCTTAAGCACCATAGATCCATGGAAATTTGCATATAGACATAGTTATATCCAAGGACAAGATCATATGAGTGTAGTAATTCTCATGATAAAATGGCAAGGTTATGGAACGACAAAAGCAAGGAAATTTCTCCCGGTTACCTGCATCATCCGTCTCTTGCCTTGGGTTAAGTACCAATCCTTTGTTATTTGCCATTCCTTTGACCTACAAGAATAAATGATTAAGATCAATTATAACTTTTATGTGAGTGAAAAGATGGATAGACATGCAAGCATTCAGCTACAACTCAATCAGGGATGAAGCTTGCAACAGCCGAAGTAAAGGTCCATATAAATGAATGGAAGTACCACAGAATTTAGCCAATCCACAGTTCTAGAAATTGTTTCTTGCTTTATGGCCTAAGATGCAGAAAAGTAACATGAATTATCACACTCCTATCACAAAATTTATCATGTTTTCAACAAATTGAGATAACATATAGCAGACATCAAAGATGCATAAATGAATAATTACCATATGAGAAATCCCATGAGACGCTAATGGTTGATAAAAGTAATGTACTTTGCAACAATGATAAAGGAAATAAACAAAAGAAGAAGGAATCGCACCAGTGCACGGAACATGCAGCGGCCGTCACCTTTTACTTTCTGAACAGTGTAATGCTCCACCTTCTTCGTCGCCGGTAAATCCCCCGCCCTCCTTGATTTGAAGACATTTTCACCCATAAAGCCGAAAGATAACCAGAAACAAACAAGGACTTCGGCGGGAACAAAAACGTACAAGGAGGAGCCGATCCTGGCGAAGAACCGAACGCCGGTGGGAGCCAGAGCAGCCGGCGGCTGGAGGAGCTCGAAGCAGGCGGTTCCATCTTTTAGCTGCCCCAGTAAGACCTCTGCAGCCCAGCAAGAACAGATTTTTAAGAAAACCCTAATCACCAGAAGGAGAAAAGAAAGCGTAACGCACCGTTCGAAGGACGATTGCGGCGGTTCGCCATGGAACCCTTAGTGGATGGTGGAACTCACGACGACGATGGCGGTGTGCTCGAGCCAATCCACAGTTGCGTCTCTTGTCAAGAAGTCAATGGCCAACAGGCTGCGTTGGGCCGCGAGCGGCCCGGCAAACATATCTGCGCTCTATGTCGGAAACTAGGGATTTTGACATGTGCTTTCTTTTAACAAAAGTATAAATTGTTTGTATATTTCAATAAACGTTGGAAAGCCAAATAAATTGAAACGTATGGAGACGAAGAACGATAGATAAATTATAGAGATTACTATTTACAAATTCTTTTTTCATTATTTTATAATTTTATTTTAATGTTTTTCTTAATATTTTTAAATTATTATTTTATAAATAAATATAAATACTCCATTTTTAATTCTCTCATTTCTCCTCTTTCTCCTTTAATTTTTTTTTTATGACGATGAGCGATACGCCGAGTGATGATGAGAGAATGAAATAAAAAGTTTTGGAGAAGAAAAATAAAAGAAAATAAATGATCCTTGGGTCATAAATAATATAATAATATTTTATTTATTTTTAAAAAATATTAATAAAAAAAAGGAAACTACGGAGACATATTTGCCAAAAAGAAAAAGAAACAAGAACAAGTAAAGAGGGGAAAACATGTATCGTGCTCAGGACCAATTTTAAAGGAAACGAAGAAGGAATCTACCGGTGCCCGGATCATGCAATGGCCGTCGTCTGTAACCTTCTGAACCGTGTAATGCTCCACCAGCCGTCAGACCCCCGGCGAACCTTGAATTCAAGACATCATGCCCACCCATAAGACCGAAGTCAGTCCCAGGGACCTAAAACAAAAGCAGATTCACAATGAGACGCAACAAGGACTTGGGGGAGAAACAGAAACGTACAGGAATGGCTTGACCCTAGCGACGAACCGAGGGCCGGCGGGATCCGGAGGCGGGAGGAGCTCGAAGCGGGCGCTTCCATCTCTCAGTTGCACGAGGATAACCTCTGGAACCCAACGAGATCAGAGCTTTCAGAAGAAGGAAACCAAAATCGATCAGAGAAAAGGGAGATTCACCGTTTGACGGGCGTTTGAGGCCGATCGCCATTGGAACACTGGCTCGGTGAGGGCGGTTAAGGGGACGAGGGGATGATCCAGTCTGTTATAAGGCCGCGCCCGATGCCATGATGTCAATGATCAATCCACGCGGATTTTTGTCATGTATATTAATCTTTTATGGTCAGTCTTCTACAAACATAAATCCTCTGTATTATAAACATTGACGACTTAGTAAGTTACATCAACGACTCACCAACATTATTATGACCTTTTTACCCCCATAATTCACTGGTTTAAATGGGAAAGACAGAGAGATAGAAGAGAAAAGACGGCTTATTAGATGAAAGATGGAAACGGGCATTGCCACGAAGATGAAGACTACTTTTTGCGGATTGGTCCGCTCTTGTCCGATCACCCATTACGTCACTGAGGCTGTGCTCTTGGGGTGAGGTAGACCCTGGCACGGACCACCGATCCGTTGCCGAGCCTGAAGCCCCGCCCGACCGGGAAGCCCACCACCGAGGCGGGCGGCACGCGACCGCCGGTGAACCGGGCCACGCTCTCCATGTAGTTTGGGTGGAACTCCGCCCCCCTGCTCGCCTCGAAGTGGGCCGGTGCCGGGTCCAGTGCGAACGCCAGAAGGTGGAGCAGCCACACCGCCTTGGCCAGCCGGAGGAACTCGCCGTAGAACGCCGTCCGTGGGTGCGCCCCCGCCAGCACCTGCTGCCTCTGCTCCGACCCGCCGTCGAACAGCGACTCCCCCATCTTGTCGTGCACGACGGCCAGGTACTTGCTGGCGGCGAACCGCCCGAAGGGACATCCCGGGAGGATGCCCAGCAACTGCTCCGGCTCCATCCCCCGCATGTCCTGGAACTGGGTGAAGCAGTCGCGCCGGAACTCCGCCGGATTGATCAGTGAGCTCAGCGATCCCTCCAGGTAGAACGTCTCGTTCTCGAATCCTTGGAACAGCTTGCCGTTCACGTACGCCTCCAGGGCGTACTTGGCATGGCGGGCTTCCAGGTTGGGAATGGCCGGAGCGCGATCCTTGGCCGCCCCGTCGCCGCCGCCGCCTCCTTCGATGATGGACCGGAAGACGGCGGCGACGTCCCGGCCGGCGGAGCGCATAAGGGAGAGAAGGTGGGATGTGAAGGTCTTGGACGCCGACTTCACTTGCTCCATGTACGCCTCGAACAGCTCCGGCGTGCGCGTGCCGGGCGCCCCTGCTCAAAATGCCCTTTTATTATACGACGAAATGCGCAAATGAAGCGTTCTCGGAGCACGTCTTGATTGTATCAGAAACAGATGAAGGTAGGTAGTCTATTACTACTGACCGAGGACGGTGATGCGTCCGACCCTCTTGCCGGAATGGAGCCGTCCTTTCCTTCCCAACCCACCGAGCGTGGCGCTCCGCAACTTCTCGTTGAGGCTGTCCACCTCCGCATTCTTCGCGCTCAGTTGTCCTTTCAGATCTTCGATCGTCGCCTCGTACGGAGCTACCGCATCCCTCAACGGCGCCGCCGGTGGGCCGGCGGAAGAGGGGCTGAAGCAGCCCCGCCGGAACCGATCCCTCAGCCTCCCCAGCTTCCGTAGCTCCGCCACCACTACCGCATCCGCCACCCGTAGCTTGTCCGGGTCCCACGGGCTGTGCGCCTCCTGAACGCCCACGTACGCTCGCTTCACCGCGGAGGCCGCGTCGAACACCTCGTAGATGAAGCTCTCCATCTCCCTGATCTTGCCCTTGTGAGAAGCCCCAGGGGTAGCGGACGCGCTGTGACCTTCCTCATCCCAGATCCCAACACCCTTCTCCTCCTTCTCTTCCTCCTCGAAGTCACCGTCTTCGAACGCGTGACCTCCGGGAAGATGATGGCTGAGAGGGGAGGAGGCGGCTCGCTGAAGCAGATGACCGATGGTTATGACCTTGTTCGCCATGTCCCTTCTCCCTCCTCTGACAGGCCTCCTGGTTCTACCTGCTGTAACACCGACAATAATAATAACCACAAAGCTAAGAGACTACGACAAGCACGACGCACCTTTCTACCGCCACATTTCAATTTCCTATCATTTCCAAGAGGAAACATTTCTTCGTCTGGCGTCACAAAGAGAAGATGACAGCTGAGCTATCAACAGGTTACCATCACGGAGGAGAAAGCTCTCTTCCTGGATGAAAAGGATGTGTTGAAGCGTTAGGAAGCAGATCTATCACCAGAGGTCTCGCGAGATCTTGTCCGAAGCACAACTACGGTCCTCTTCGTCGCTTGCATCCCAACTGTTCACCGCTTGGTTTGGGGTTGGCCTCGTACTTATCGAGTCTCGCAAACGTCGACTCCGTAACCCGTACCCGTGAACGTTCGGGGTTGGCCCGCGCGGCCGTTGGTCGTTAATGCGACGCCGTGATCCGTCAGTCTTCTCGCCGATCAGACCTCGCGACCTGCCCATTCTTTTTGGCTGTGCTTTGCAATCATCCGACGGTACGTATCATATACGATGCGATACGATTTGTGCGTGATTACGCTTGGATTAACTGCTACTATAATCTAAAAAAAGAAAAAAGAAAAAAAAAGGACTGCTTTTATAACCTCAGTGGTGGACGGTTTGGATGCGCTGTTGCTGTTGATCTGGTCGAGTTGATCCACCTCGCCGCGTCCGATCGACGCAACTATTGGTCTCGGTTGGCTCTCGATCTGGGTGAAGGTGCTCCACCTGGGCTTCCGATCCGTGGTCACCGGCATGCCGAGGATGGAGAGGGCAGCCACAGTCGTAGGGTTCGGGGTAGCGGAGGCCGCCATCGCCGGATCGAAGGTGATGATCTTCATAAGCGTGGTTCCGGAGGCCATTGTGTGGGAGGAGGATTAGGGTTTTGGGCGAGCGGCGATGCGGGGGATCGCCTGACGCATCTTCTTCTTAAAGATGGCGAGGAGGAGAGCACCGATGACTGCCCGACGCTCGACGAAAGGCGGCCTTCCCGATGGCTCGCCGTTCGCTCGAAGTTTCTGAATCCAACAACCCATTACAAATAATATAAGATGTAAATACCAAAACTAATAACGACGAGAACAGTTACGCCAACGACGACGCCATCGGTTCGCTTTAGAATTAGGACCGCATGCACATTAGATGGTTGGATCGAGCCAATCGTCCACCCGGAAATGGCCAGACCGGACAAGGGGCGAAAATAAATCCGACCCGTTATCTATCTACTTGTTATCTCTACATTTTAATATATCATACATTATTGCATATTGATATGTTTTTATAGATCATAACTAATCATAAATTGGCCATGTCCATATTGGACATGAGAGATTTGATATGTGGATATATGAACGTCACAACATTAATCACCACACCCAAAAATAGATGAAGTATACATGATCAGATATAGTTGGATCCATGCATATATATATATATATATATATATATATATATATATATATATATATATATATATATATATATATATATATATATATATATATATATATATATATATATATA